CGTATCAAGTACGTAATATACGGTGTAAAAGGGGTCAATGTGTAAGAACCGCATCTCTAGCTGCTTCGAAAGGACAAATACTGAAAAAAAATTGTAGCGAAAATAGTAAAATAATAAAATTTTAGCAAATTCTCAGCAATTTCACTCAAGTGTTCCAAATCGTAGAACAATTTTTTCTCTACCACGGTTATTATAAATCATAATTTTATATATATTAGAATAAATAAATTTTACTCGCTTCGCTCGTGCCGTCGCGCCCGTCCCCACAATAAACAACTTCCCCCCACTGTTACACAATGTACTATAATCGCTACTTCCGGTTTTTGCTGAAAAAGGTATCGCCGACCTAACCTTATTGACGTTATTTCGCGACTCCGATTAGAGGGTCTCTAGGACCACCCAGCGAAGCGCGCCGAGCGCGTTCGCCATCGCTAGGCACGCGACTCATATCTAGCAACGAATATTGCCGTTTATAAACAACGCTTGTTATAAACAACGCCTAGTAATAGCGAACGCGCGCGGTGCGCTTCGCTGGGCGGTCCTATCCAGCCGCGCGCTTGCATTTGACGATGGGCCGGGCGAATTTAAATATTTTTATAAATTAATATCTCGTGTGGCGTCGAGTGGCTCACCGCTCTGTGCGATTGACTCGCGATTTGTAGACCCGAGTTCAATCCCACGTGCGCCCAAACGCGATGATTTTTCGCGTTTAATGAGCCAAAAAATGGCTCCACCTGGTGATCAAAAGATCTATGATCATCAGCGCCGTTCGGATTCGGCGTTAAAAACTGTAGGTCCTATACATCAGTAGTATATCAGTAGATATTTGTCTCTAATATCTAACTGAGGTAGGATTCTGTGGACTAATCACCCACAAATCAGAAAAACTATCTGATTCGAGAAACGAATATAGGCCTCGGACAAAAGAGGTCTATAGACGTCCTATGCTCCACATAAGGAGATAAAAGGTGTCGTTCGTTAATATCTCGTTAACTATTACTGCAATCGCAAAATGGTACAGGACTTTTCGACTCAGTATAGTCTGTTCTACCCACGCATAAAATATTTGGCGGTTATTCTCAGCCACCCTGTATATTATAAATTTTATATATATTATAAAAAAATATAATTTTCTATGATTGAGATAAGGCTCAATATGTATTAAACAACTAATATAGAAGATAAGGGCAAGAGCTAATAATTCCGTTAACCCTTTACGGCATAGTGGGACGCCCAGCATCCCACCTTTTTTCTCTCAGTTTTTAATTAATTATTCGGCTGTTTTCACCTACACAATCGGATTTTTGAGTTAATTAGGTTAACAAGATGTCTATAATCATAAAAAAAATTACAAATCATCAATTGTCATTAATTTTAAATTGTTATAAATAAATAACCATGGAAAAATAGCAATAATTTCTGAAAAAATTCATTTTTGATTGAACGATTATATATATTTGTATGAAACTATAACATTATATGTTTTCGGGGTCGCTGATTACGAATCTGACGTCAGATTTGCAAAATTCAAAATAGCGGATCCAATATGGCGGACCAAAATGCAAAAAGTTGCTTGATCTAAACGAAATTTGTTACTGGGGGGGTTTTCGGGGTTGCTTATTACGAATCCGTGGTCCGTTTTAAAAAACAAAAATACAAAAAAAAAATAAAAAAACCACAAAAAAAAAAATTAAAAAAACAAAAATACAAAAAAATAAAAAAAACAGAAAATAAAAAAAAGGAACTATAAGTTTGCCACGTCCACGTCGTTAGTTCTGGGTCATGCTGAGAGCAAGTACAAAGAAATTAAAATTGTACCACATTTTTCAGGTCATTCAATTCGTCATTTTCAAAAATTTGAAATCTGGTTATTTTTCTAATCGCTAAATTTGTTTTAATTCCATCCACCACATTAGATCCGCCATCTTTAATTGTTGAAATCTGACACCGAATTTGTCATCAGCGATCCAGAAAACTCCAAAATACCAATTTTCAAGAAAATCCAACGCTCGATTTTTATGTTCGTTCGCCATCCTAGATCTGCCATTTTGAATTTTAAAAATCTGACATCAGATTCGTAATCAGCGACCCCGAAAACCCCCGAGTAACAAATTTCGTTTAGATCAAGCAACTTTTTACATTTTGGTCCGCCATTTTGAATTTTGAAAATCTGACGTCAGATTCGTAATCAGCGACCCCGAAAACCCCCGAGTAACAATTTTCAGTTATTTTCCGCGTAAAGAAAAATGTATGCCGCAAAGGGTTAAAACCTTTTTAAAATAATCTAATATATATTGCGAAGAATAGCACATAATTATGGCGTTTCGTCCCAACTTCCACTACTGGACTCATCAGTAAGGCATTGTAGTGGAAGCCTACCTTAGACGCCTTTTTAAGTTATTAAATCGAGATTCTATATATACAGATATACGCGTATCAAAGCACTTGCGAGAATTTTTGCGAATATCTATACACCTCTGATGGCGGGTCGACGTAGTAATATTCTTCGCAATATTTATTTTTAAAGTAATATATGTGTTAGAAGTTACAATACACGATTATCGTAAAGCTCATTGATTAGTTATTGGAATTTGAGAGATCGATCGTTGGATCGATTACATGCGACGACGCCTTAACGTTTTTGTAGCAATTCAATAAAGTATTCTCTTGCACGAGCTCTCAGCATAAAGCTTCAGCGTACATCTTTTCAATCCCCCAACACAAAACATTTGGTCCTTCGAGCCGGATAGCAAGAAATCAGCACGAGCATAAAGGGATTGAGAGTAAAGGATATAATCCGACGCAAAATTTGGCGGTATACAGACAAGTGAGAGGAGGTTAAGGACGACGAGCGCGAGACAAGCAGATCGCGCCAAGACACATAGGAAGATCTGGACATCCTGGAAACGAAGAATTTAATTCTGGATTCAGGTCGGTGTGCCCAATGCCTTTATCCTAATCCTTATTTATATAAGAATAATATAAGTCGATACATAACCTCAATCCTCAGTTCAAATCCATCTCGACAACGATCCTTATTTCATTTAAAAACTAATAAGAGAGAATATTTCCTTTTTTAACAATAATAACAAGTAAACATGGATAAGAAATTAGTTCTAAGACGAGCCAGTTTAAAGCGGCAATTGACTAATTTCCTTAATTATGCCAAGTCAAATCAGGTTGATCTCCAACAACTACAAGAACGATATGAAAGAGCATCCAATGTTTGGCGAGAGTTTGAGGAAGTGCATCAAGAAGTAGAATATATTCTGCATGAACAAAAGGATGAGCAAGCAATTGAAGAACACGCACAAATTAGAGAAAAATATGAACAAGTATATTATGATGCTTTAGCGGCAGCAAGAGGAAGATTAAGCACATTAAACGTTCAACAGAGTGATCAATTATCACAACTACAAGCTCAATTCCAAGCACTGGGAAGAGCAACAAGCAGTCAAGGAGGAGACACAGTAAAATTAAAACTTCCACCATTGACAATTCAGCCGTTTCATGGAGAATACGACAAGTGGCTCACATTCAAGGATGCATTCATGCAGGGAGTTCACAACAAAAATATTCCCGCTATTCAGAAATTTCAGTTGCTTCAAGGCTTATTGAGAGATAAGGCCCTTAAGGTAATAGCAGCATTAGAAGCCTCAGATGCCAACTACGAAATCGCTTGGAAGTTGTTGAAAAAATGATATGAAAACACGAGATTAATAATCAATACGCATATAAAGGGACTATTTGAACTACCCCCTGTTGCGAAGTCGAATCATGCAAACTTTAGAAATATGGTTGACGAAGTTCGGTCTCATATTCGTTCGCTTCAAGCTTTAAAGTTGCCGGTGCAATATTGAGACACTGTCATCATATATTTGATCACAAACAAATTCGATAACGCAACGAGAGAGGAATGGGAAAAGGAGATTAGTCCGAAAAAAACTGATCAATTGCCTACGTTGGAAGAAATGACGGCGTTTCTGGAAAGACGTGTAATGCTCGAAATGACAGATAAAAGCAAGTCATCAGAATTAGCTTCAGTGGGGAAGAAAACGGACAAGAAAGTAACGTTATCAGCTACCGCAATGACATGTCCTCACTGCGCGGGTCCTCATTTGATTTTTAAATGCGAGAAGTTCTTGAAGTTATCTCCACAACAAAGATATGCAGAAATAAAGCAAAAGAATTTGTGCGCTAATTGCCTTAAAACAGGACACACGAGCAAAAAATGCTGGTCATCTACATGCAAGAAGTGTAATCTTAAACATAACACTTTGTTACACAAAGAACAAGAAGGCGGAGAAAAACCGGAAAAGAAGATTCAAGATGAAGGCCAAGCAGAAGCAGTTTCAGCAACACATCACAGTCAATTTCTGATAAGCGAGAAAGAAACTCCTTTGCAAGAAAATGAAAGCCAGGATAAAGAAGCAAACGAAGATTGCAAGATAATAACACATTGTGTTCCGAAACACACGACGAGAGTAATCCTCTCAACAGCACAGGTCTATATAGACGACAACGATGGAAACATACATAAATGCAGAGCATTATTGGACCTAGGGTCTCAGTCAAATATGAGAACGAGGAATTTAGCTGATAAATTAAAAATATCTTATAAGGAGATTAAGATACCTTTAAGCGGAGTCAATAAGTCAAAACTTACCATCAATAAATCAATACAAATCAAATTATCATCGACAACATCGTGCTTTAAAGCCGAATTAGAATGCTTAGTGCTACCGGCTATCACAGAGCGTATTCCACAAGTCCGTCTCGATAGAGCACGGTTAACAATTCCTGATTGCATCGATTTAGCAGATCAAGAATTCGAAAAACCCGGTCCCATCGATATTCTTATTGGAGCAGGACTATTTTGGAAAATTTTAAAATCAGGAGAGGTTATTTTGAGAAAAGATCAACCCATTCTGCAAAATACTCATTTAGGATAGATAGTAGGAGGCGAGCAAGTGGTCCGTGATCATCAATCAGAAGCAACAATGTGTCACTTAATCACAACGCAAGAGCTGGATAACAAAATAGAAAAATTTTGGAAACTAGAGGAGATAGGAATTCGAAATACTAGAAATAAAGAAGACGAATTATGTGAAGAGCATTTCCAAAAGACATATCGACGGGACGAGCAAGGTCGATTTCAAGTAGAACTTCCGAAAAAACAAGAAGTCATACTAGGAGATTCATTTGAGAGAGCATTAAAACGACTTCGCAGCACAGAAAGACGATTTAAACAACCTGATTTAAAGCAAGAGTATGTAAACTTTATGAAAGATTACGAGGCATCTGGACACATGTCTCTGTGTGAAGGAAAATTTATGGAACGATATTACATACCTCATCAGCCAGTAATACGAGAAACAAGTATAACAACTAAACTGCGGGTGGTTTTTGATGCTTCGGCCAAGACCTCTTCGGGAGCATCGCTCAACGACAAATTATTAGTGGGGCCAAATTTACAAAATGACATTTTTGAAATTTTGTTGCGTTTCAGATGTCATCAGTATGTTTTAACAGCGGACATTGCACAAATGTTTCGACAAATCAAAATGGTAGAAGAAGACAGAGCATTCCAATGCATTTTATGGCGATCAGACGAGGAACAACCTGTTAAGGTTTATACCCTTTATACGGTAACATACGGAACAGCATGCGCTCCCTTCTTGGCGATGAGATGCTTAAGAGAATTGGCGAACCAATGGAGTCCGGATAATCCTAAGGCAGCAGAAATTTTAAAAGATGATTTTTACATGGACGATCTAATATCTGGAACTAAAACAGAACAGGAAGCAATTGCATTGCAAAGGGAATTGTCCATGATATTACACAGTGCTCAATTTCACTTGCGCAAGTGGAGAAGCCACGATCCTACGATACTGGAATCTCTAACAGAATCAAAGGAAAAGACGAGTTGTTAATCCTCGACGATCAGAAATCTATCAAAACTTTAGGACTGCTATGGAATAGCAACAAAGATTATTTTTAATATGAAATCAGTTTAATCAAATCCTCGGAAATTACAAAAAGGAAAATACTATCGGCAGTAGCACAATTATATGATCCGCTGGGAATAATAGGCCCAGTAATAATTCAATTTACCGAATCATTTACATAATAAAGAGAAAACAATAACAGAATTTATTAAGTGTATAGAATTGTATGTCACTAATCTAGACGAAAGGAAAAAAAATGAATTTAGAACTAAAGCGACTTCGATTTTAAATAATATCAATTCTAATATTATTAGTCATAAAGATCAGCTAAATATAAAAGATAAATTTAAAATAGTTAACAATTTCATAAAAGAACACCCTGATCTTTTGATTACTAGAGCTGATAAAGGTAATACTACAGTGATTTTGGATTTAAAAGAATATTATGAAAAAATGAACATAATTCTCTCAGATACTAGTACTTATACTTTAATTAATAAAGATCCGTTAAAACGAATTACTAATTGTACAAGAGAATTACTAATAAGATTCAGAGATAAAGGTTTTATAGATCAACATACGTATAGAAGACTTTTAGTAACAGATGGAGTGTTACCCAGATCTTACGGGCTTACTAAAATACACAAAACAGGCTTCCCTCTCAGAATTATTGTAAGTTGCATTAACAGTCCGATGTTTCCTATTTCTAATTTTTTAAAAGAAATTATTGAGAAAAGTATTACTAATTCAAATTTAGGTTATACTAAAAATAGTTTTGATTTTGTTGAGAAACTAAATGGAAAAAAATTTGATTCCAATTACAATTTAGTTTCGTTTGATGTAGTATCTATGTACACAAACATTCCAACTGAATTAATAATGCAAAGTATAGATAGACGATGGAATAATATTACATAGAATACTTCTATTTCCTTGGAAGAATTCAAAAATGCTCTGAATCTTATTATTAATTCGACTTATTTTAAATTTAATAACAATTTTTATAAACAGACTTTTGGTATGCCAATGGGCTCCCCATTATCGCCGATTTTAGCCGGTTTGGTTATGGAGGATTTAGAAACAAAAATTTTTTCAACCATGAATGTACACATTCCGATTTACCAAAGATACGTCGACGATATATTATTAGCAATCCATAAGAATGATATTGAGAGAGTTTTTGATACTTTTAACTCTTATAATGATAGAATTAAGTTTACTATGGAATGCAGCATTGATGGATGGATAAATTTTTTAGATGTTAAAGTTGGTGTTGAAAACGGCAGACTTATATTTGATATTTACAGGAAACCCACGAATTCAGGAAGATATTTAAATTTTTTCTCGAATCATCCAATGTGTCATAAAAAAGGTGTAATAATCTCATTATTTGATCGTATAATTTTTTTGTCGCATCCTAAATTTCATTCCAAAAACATCAGTGAATTAATTAGAACTTTAATCTTAAATGGATATCCTTTGGAATTTCTGATTTCTTCCATCAATAATAGAATTAATAGTTTGAAATATTGCAATATGAATAGTAATAATATAGTTAATAATATAGTTAATAATATAGTTAAGAACTAGAAGAATAAATAATAATTATTTTGTAGTTCCATACCACAGAAATATTTCAGAAAAATTTAAAAGTATCATTAATTTTCCAAAAACAAATATTGCTTACAAACCAATCAATAATCTTGGTGGAATAATTAAAACTGGAAAAGATAAACTAAATAAGTTTGATAATACTAATGTAGTCTACAAAATTAGCTGTAAAGATTGTGACAAGACTTATGTCGGGCAAACAAAAAGAAGGCTTAGAACTAGATTGAAGGAACACAAGGATGATTCAAAGAGATCGAATAATAATTCTGTTGTAGGCACACATCAATTAAATTGTAAACATGACATAGATTGGGAAAGTACTGCAATTTTGGACAATGAACCTGTATATTTTAAAAGAATAATTTCGGAAATGATTCATATTAAGAATCAGACTAATTGTCTAAATTTGCAGAGCGACACCGAAAAATTACCGCAATTGTATTTTTCTATCATAACAAACAAACTCCATAACTCTAACGCAAATTCTCAGGTTTAGTTTTTATTTTTATTTTTATTATTCTTATCAGTCTCAAGTTCATATACACATGAAATTCACGTCACTACATCTTTGACTTTACTGTTGTAATGTACGATTTTCTCTGACGCTTCACTTTAGATGACGATTTGCTTTAAACGGAACATAGGTAAATTCGAATTATATTCATTTATTACGAGAAAATA